TCTACTTGAACCATTGTTTTTAAAATATTGTTTGGAGTCAAAATGACATATTGGATGACCCATTTTGGATTTGTGGATCTCTCAAATCAAAATTCCATTTCAACTTTTTCAACTTATAAGCCATTTTTAGGTCATTTTTACCCAATCTTGTAAATCCTTGCTACAAGCTTTTTCAATAACTCATGACCACTTTTCTAAGCTTAAAATCCCATTTTGAACAACTTTCATGTTTTGAGTTTTTTCATTTGAGGCTTGGAAATAGGAGAAATGGCCTTTGCTTAAAATGACCTATAACTGCCAAATGACCAAAATACCCCTGTCTTGTTCAAACCATAAGTTGAGTTCTACAAATCCTATCAAGGACTTATAGAACTATCTAGAAAGCTAAGAAGATGCTATTCAACGTTCATGTTGACCAAGAGATCATAGGAATCATCCTACTAGGGCAAAAGTTGTCTGCAAGTTGGGTGACTTTCAAGGACCCAGATTCACACACCTCAGCTGACCTGTAATTTGTCAAAACCATAACTTGAGCTCTGCAACTCCTATCAAGGACTTCCACCACTCAAATTAAAGCTAAGAACAAGCTCTACAACATTCATGTTGTGGGGAAGATGAGATATCAACCACATCTTGAGCTAAAACTGCCTGGAAGATAGGGATCAAATTAGGGTTTTTTCACTGACAATCCTTGGAAACCCTAACTCAAAACTTCTCAAACTCCTCAATCATGATGAGTTGGTCTAGGAATCATCTTTATAACATCTCTATGCATCATTCCATGATCTCATGGCCCTTGGATTAGGTCTCAACCTTCTCCAAATCTTCAGCTGATCTAGGGTTGACCCAGTCAAAACCCTAATTCTATCATTCATGGTTGAATTTTCTGAACCCTTGCACAATGACCTCTCTGGGCTTCATGATGGCTATCAAGACATCTCATAAACTTTCTCAAAGCTTCAAGTCTATCCTCATAGTCTCAGAACCATCTGAGGAGCTCCCACAACTGTCAAGCTATGAAGCACAAAACCTTGGTTTCAACCAATTCCTCTGAGGATCTCTTGAACTTTCTGATGAAGGTATCAACTTTCAAACACTTGATAGATAAATAAATGTTGGTCAAATTTTGGGGTGCAACAGAAACATGTAGCTCCAACAACTGAACTTTTCTATTGCCAAGATGAACGGTTTTGGCTTTGGAAAACCAAATTCAAACTCAGACCAATAATTTCAACAAGTTCGCCTCCACCGTGATGGGACATTTTGACACTATTGCTAAAACTGCTGCAGGTCAAAATCATGCTCTTACTACAAGCTTCAATGTTCTCAACCGGGCTGTGTTGGAACTTACTGAGCGGTTGGATGAACAAAAACCTCCACCACCTCACGACTATCAATTCAGAGGAAGAGGCCATCATTTTAGGGGGAGGAGGCCTTGAGGATCATTTGTGTGTTGTTGTGCATATCATACTATATCTTATTCATTTTCATCTGAATGTTCACTTATCATTATGTTTGTTTTATTTACTAAGACATGAAAATATTTTGGATTCTAATGTTTGTTAAAGGCACTTAGTTTTTGTTCATATGTTGTGTGTTCTATTATCTTCTTATACGTTTTCATTAACACCATTTTATGTGAATGTTTGTTAATGAGTACCTGTTGCAAATTATGTGAATGTGCTCAATTCAATATACTGTGTTTTTCTTTGACGTTTTGCTTCTTTCTTTTTGATATTGTCAAAGAGGGAGAAGAGACTAAGCAAAATCAACAATTCATCCTACAAGATTGATCAAACGTTTAGATTGTTTCTAGATGAATGCATAAAGTTAGGGGGAGGATGATACTACTTAACGTGCTGAATTTTTGCTACTGTTTTGCCATCATCAAAAAGGGAGAGTATCTGAGGAAAAGTTGCATCAATACTTGTTTTAATAATGTCAAAACATATCTAGTTAGTAATTTATACTTTGGACGGTATCATCGAGTCACATATGCATTCATAGTTTTCTCGTGTACAAGCATTTATCAAAAACACGTGTCTATTCATATAAAAAAGAGTTATATGTGTTTTGTGTGAGTTTGATCATGTTGGTAGACTTAGATATGTATTAGAAGTGCTTAGATATAACAAGATATGTCAAAAATAACATTTTTGGAAGTTCTGAACCTTTGAGTCGATTCAAAGCCCTGCTTAGGTTGACTCATACAGAGTGAATTTTAATGATTTGCTCTCAGGAGAGCTCGCGTCGATCCTCCTGTCGACTCATACTGTTAGCATTTCAATTTGTCAATTCTGGGTTATTTTGCGTCGATGCATGGACCTGTTCCGGTCGACACAAATAGTCAATTTCTTCATAATTTTGAAAGCGGAAGTGCTCATGTCAACCCCCTTTTCTTTAGGTCAATCGTTCGCTCGTGTCACTCTATATTTATAATATGCTTGACTTTCAAATGGCTATTATGTTTGTTACTTGGTCCTAACTTCATATATATATATATATATATATATATATATATATATATATATATATATATATATATATATATATATATATATATATATATATATATATATATATATATATATATATATATATATATATATATATATATATATATATATATATATATATATATATATATATATATATATATATATATATATATATATATATATATATATATATATATATATATATATATATATTGGTTTTGACTCATTCTTTCACAACAACAAGAAAAGTGAAAATAGACACTGATTTTTTCTCTCATCATTTTCATCTTCTTTCTTGCATTTTCTCAACAAATACACATAACCATTTTCGTTGATCATTCTGCATCATTGAGGTGATAACGTCCAAACATAGGATATTTGTATCGGGTTTGGTTTAAGAGATCGATGGGTTTTTCTTGAATAAAATCGTTAGGGTTTTGTCCACCAAGAATCTTGTACCTTGGGGTTTTTGCACAAATCGTTTCTTCATAGATTCAGCCGAGCGAAGGTGATTGAAGAACGAATGGTTCTATCAATCTAGTAGCGGTAACTGGAGGATTGTGGAAGGAAGATTTGGGTTTGAATTGTGTGTGATTGAAATTAGTCGGGCTAAAGATTTGAAGACCATTGGGTGGCTCAAACGTGTAGCTGAAATCAAAGGTTTATTAAACACATTCGAAGGACTTGATTCATCTTGAATAAAGGAGAGAGAAATCATAGTTTCACCATCAACAACTAGGATTTAGTGTTTGATTTCTATTGTTCCTCTTGTACAAACAATTTGCAACAGGTTTTATATAGGTCTCAATTCTATTTTTAGAATTGAGAGCAGACATAGCACGAGCGAGGACGATTGGGGAACTGTCTCAATAAATTGTTGTTGTTCTCTCTTTTTGCTACTTTTTATTTCTAAATTTTTACATTTGTGTACAATCAAATTGCTTGATTAAAATTTTGGTATAGTGTAGTACTGAAATGTATTTAGAAATATCATTACAATCTGTTTGATTGTAATTGGAAAAGCTTAGCACTACATTTACTTAGTGAATTTCACTTGGAGTACCTCGCATACCAAGTGTTCGACAAATTGCTTGAACACAAACCTTTTGAGCTGTTTTTCAACTTGAGTTTATTTTTCACAAGGCATTAGAAATTGAACAATTTTGAGTGAATAAAATTGTATTGATTTGTGTTCAAACTTTTGATTCAATTTCTCATTGGAATCGATATTACATATAGGCATATCACATATCCGATCTTTTTGGTAACGATTCATTTAGACGATCGTAGTTCCTCGGCCGCTTCCACTTAAAAGTTTTAAAAACCGATTTATCATAAGCGCCGACTCTGTATAAGAATTAGTGATCTATTCAACCCCCTTTCTAGGTCATTGTCGTCGTTTAATAGATTTCTCATTTTTGCCTCCCAACTCGGGTGAGACTTAGCTAACACCATGTCCATTGTCCCGTTGTGTGTCAGTTTTGTGATAGAAATCTAGAGGATGATTGACACATTTTCTTTGGTTGCATTGAAGCCTCACAATGTTGGATTGGAGCGGGTCTAAGCTCAGTTATTGATCCTAGGATGCATAATTTTACCGACACTAAGGCGGTCATTAATGATATTTGTAGTAAGGAGGATCATAGGACAATAAGTAGAGTGGTAGTGATGTTATGAGCATTTTGGAATAGTAGAAACAATTAGATTTGACATAATGAAAAGTTAGAAGCTAATAATTTGGATTTATAGGCATTCTATAATTAGAATGATTGGTATCTAGCTCAGAACATTGAGGAGGATACTGAGATAGATCAAAGTCAACACTCTTGGAAGCCACCTATCAAGCAAGGGCAACCAAAAAAGCTATCCAAACAGCCACTTATTTGCAAATGGACTATGTCATTTTCGAGAGTGATTCATAGATGGTGATCCAAGCAATTCAGTCGAATAAAAATGGTAACTCCGAGTTTAGTGTGAATATTTATTGTTTTAAGAACTTATTAGTTTGTAATCCCAACGTTGAGGTGAAATCTTTTAAGCATAAAACGATCTCGATTGCTCACTTGTTAGCTAAAGCAGCCGATTCTTGGTCTAGATGCGGTAGTTTCCATCTAATTCCTCATTGTATTGAATAAAATTTGATTAATGAAATTCATTAAGTTTTCTTGAGTAAAAAAAACACAATGACAACGACAATTTATAACACACCATCCATATTAAATGATATGAAAAAAAATTCTTAACATAGTGACGACTGTGCTCTTGTTATTTGACAACTTGATAATTAAATAAAATTAGTATTTATTTGTTTGTGATTTTCTATTATGAGTTGAAGAATAATTCAACAAGTAAAATTGGGGGTGGCATCAAACTAGAAGATACTAAGATAGGTTTTTTTAGTTATGAGTTAACAATAGATGCATGTAGAAAGAAGTAGGAAAGGGTATATATGAAGAAGATTAAAATGATTATATATTAATGTTAATGGTGAAAGCACAAGAATCAGACAGCTCTGTAAGCATCCCTTTCATTTCTGATAAGGGAGGAAGAGTATTCTCCAAGTCCGATAGGATCAATAATTTCACCCTCTTTCAAGTCTTGAATCTGCACAAGAGCCTCTTTGATGTCCAATCTTCTTTCTACATTCTCCTCACAACAACTAAGTCCAATTTTTAAGAGTTTAAGCAATTCAGATTTACTATTTCCGATTCCTCCCATATCTATGTCAAATATATCACTTGTGCGTTTCTCGGTAATCATCATATTTACCCAACTTGCTAAATCAGAATCAGTATTATACTTGGGTGTAATATAGTTCTCTGGGAATTTACCTGTTAGGATCTCCAATATTAGAATCCCAAAACTCCATACATCTGTTTTCTTTGTAATGCGTCCAAGTTGAGCATACTCTGGGGATTTGTAAGGCATTATGATTTGTTGGGCATGATCAAGATTTATCAACGGACTCAGGCCATAGTCAGTGATTAGGGGTTCAAAAGATTCATCTAAGAGTACATTGGAAGATTTAAGATGTCCGTGAGGAACAATCACACTTGGAAGTGCACTATATAGATAAGACAAACCCCTAGATACACCTTTAACAATTTTCAACCGGGTTGCCCAATTAAGTCCTGGCTTTTGGGAGGTGTGGTTACCTAAAACCAAACAAACAAACATTAATTAATCAAGCAAACAAACAGCATGCATTGAATATATAAAATATATACCATGAAGATGACTAGCCAAGCAACCGTTGTGAACAAAGGATGAGATCAAAAGTTTCTCTTCTCTTCTATAATAGAAAGCCAGTAGAGGTAGAAGATTTGGATGATTTAGGTTTCCTATCCTTCTCATGTGCTCGTGGAACTCTTCTCTTGATACATTGTTCATTTTCTTATACCTCTTTACAACCACAGCTTGACCGTCTAAAATCACAGCTTTGTACGATGACCCAAACGAGGCACTACCTAGAATTTCAGCAGAGGCCCTTAGCAAATCTTGTAAATCAAACACTATTCCATCTTTCTTCAGGAATATAAGCTTCCCTTGCTCCCCTTTTTTGGAATGACCATGACTATACTGGTCTGGTTTTGGACTGTTGGGATCATAATGATCAGCCAAACTTTTGGTTTTCACATAAATAACAGGAGGCTTAACATATTTGTTGGAAGCTTGCATGTGTAATTTTGAAATGGTAGAGGGATTATCGTCGCTTAATTGTTTCTTTTGAGACCTTAAGCGACATATCACAAATATTGAAACCATAATGGATATTACAAATGCTATCATGATCACTATAAGTAAAATATTCATAACAACCATTTTGGACAAAATACCATTATCTGATTGACACGTGTTTGCCAAAGGTGGCCCACATAAAAGCAGGTTTCCACTAAACCGAGATGGATCAAAAGTTCTTAGATTAGGCGGGATAGGACCTTCTAATTCATTGTTAGACAAGTCGATAATCTTGAGGTTATTTGTGTGTTCAAAATTGGGTATCTCACCTTTAAACTTGTTTGAGTCAAGCCTAAGGACAACCAAAATAGGCAAAGTAGATATAGATGATGGGATTTTACCACTAAACTCATTATTAGATAAATACAATTTCCTTAACCTGTGTAAATCCATAAATGCATTGTCGGGTATCAACCCTGAAAAATGGTTATAAGACAAGTAAAGGGCCTTCAAATTGGGCAACATCTTAATGTTAGGCAACGGACCCACAAAGGTATTGTTCATCAAACTAACTGTTCGCAATGCAGGCATTGAAGCAAGAGATTCCATATCAATATTACCGGTTAAACCCATGCTCTCCAGCCGTAGCCCCCACACCCTACCTTTCAGACAAAACAACCCCACCCAATTTGGAGTGTTTCCAGAGCATGGTGGCCTGTGGTTTGTCGATGGATCCCAACTGCTAAGGGACACCACATTTTTCAATGATCTCTTGAACTTCAATAATGCCTCAACATCTGAAGATGATATTGACATGCCTTTATATGAAAGTAGTAATAATAATACAAAAATAACCACAAACTTGACATTATTAAATGCTGTAGGTGCGCGCACAATTAAATTGGAGCGCGCGCCCATTAGCACCGACTATGAACAGATGATTAGGATCATATGTGTAGTTATTTAATCATTTTCTCCTTATTAATTAACAGCACCATCTCTAATCATTAAAGACTGAAAAGGATCAAGGTTGATGGTGTTGTTAGGGGCCAAAAAAGAGTATGTCGTCAAATTATGGTAAAGGGAATTATTGATACTGCTAACAAACAAATGACGGGAATGAACAAATGAAAGCTATCATCACAACATTAGTTGTGTGCATGAGAGGTATAAGGACAACCTCTAATTCCATTCCTTATTTCTTTCCATTCTATATAATTTAACACCTCAAACCGTGTCCTTTTTCTTAAATTAGATTTTCTATCATTAGATGTCAACAAAATAATATTTTATTATGTTTTATTTTACAGTCACCTTTTTAAATAATAACCTTTTCAAAACATGATAGTAATTCAAACTATCACAATTCGCATGCATTAGTGGGTGATATGAATAAAAAGGTTAACTGTATAAATTTTCTTACATTGTTTGTTTCAATGAAAAGATGATAGGTGAATTGGTGTCGCCAAGAACAAATTAAAATATCAGAAAAAGATTGAGTTTCTTGAACAAACACGAAAAATCCTATTAGATTTTACAAAAGATAGAGAAGAAGGAAGAAGAAGAAGAATTAGTTAAAACTATTTTACTATTCACTTACTCAATAAGGGGTCAAAGATTACACGTGAGTCATTTCGCAGTGAGAATTGGATATTAAGCTATTCATTAACTTGAATCACAAATCATTATTCATCACTGGTCTTTAATTTGTCCAATGGATAGGAAAAAGATCGAATAACCCCTGAGTATGTAATACAATGCAAAGTTAGAGAGTCTAAGGTTTGAGAGTTAGTTAAACTTAAGAAAGGTACTAGCATCCTAAGCATCTGTAATACTCTACAAAAACTTCTTATTTTATTGTTTTATTGTTGTTTGTTAAGCGTGACCTAGGGGGTTTATTTCTAAATATGCTCGCCAAAAAATTGCACCTTATGCCTACGTATCCTGACGGGAATAACATAAGAGCATTTGTAGTTTCCCTGCAGGGATGAGGAACTCTTGACTGTGGTCAAGGTTCCAGGGGGAGAAGTTGTTGATTGATTATAGGAGAAGAAACAAGTTGTCATCTTAAGGAGAATACTGGACTTAAACCACCACAAACATGCGAAAGACATTCTTTGCTTCATATTGAGAAAAGGGATCTAACTCGGATATATAACCGAGTATGCCACATACCTCTCACAAGCGGAAAGGATCCACGTCTTCTCTCGATTATTTCATGGGGTATGAGAGTTATATCTCGACTACATAGATGACTTATGTCTAATTCTCTTGTGGGAGAATGGGAGTTTAACTTGTAAGTTGTCTAGAAAATATAATGGAATTTATCCTGAATGGTATGAAGGTATATCCTAGGCTGATCAACCTGAAAGGAGTCAGGGATCAAGAAAAGGCAAATTATGCAAATGACAATGAAGTGCGTATGACTTAAAAGTCATACACATGCTCTTCCCTTGGACATAAACGTGCGTAAATATATTAGAGGAAATATGTTGTTGTTGTTGTTGTTCCAATCACGTGTGTGTGGTATGATTGCTTTTTTTTTTTTTTTTTGTAAAACTGTGGTGTTAGTGTGATGTTGTGCTTTCCTTTTTACCGATACCTCCCCTTTTATGCTTGTTGAACGTCCACTTATACGCCTTTGGATTTTGAAATTATTTTCCAAATTAAGGCTGTTAAATGTGTTGTAAAATGTTGTTTTGGAAACAAATCAACAAATGTTTGGAGCCTGTTTAATGATGTTGAAGACAGGTTTGATGGTTGTTTTGGAAAGAAATCAATTTGTGTGATTTGTAATTGATGAAGGTATAATTCAAAAACTTGCCATATTTTGTGATTTTGTGCTTCACGACCTGTTTTTTTTTCACGCTTTATGGTTTTGTTGGAACTTGATAGTTATGACAATTGCTTCAAACTGTTGCTTGCCAAATTGTTGAATGCAATCTAAACCAGAAACAAACATGAAAGACCAACTCTTCAATGAATACACAGAGACTATCGAACTCACACGTGAGCTCCTGTGCAATTACGAGGTCCGATAAATCCAGTGAATCCCCAAGGTACTCTCATCAACAAAATGTTTTGCCTCTCCATGTATGCTGTGAACAATCAAACCTTTTGAAGTTTTGCACTGTCTATTTCAATTCGTGTATCTCTTGTTTGTGGTAATGTGGGAACAAGTAGTTGGCATTGTTTTGAATGAATCGTTTTATGTTCTTGATATTAAAACTTGCTTTCATGTTCATTGTTTATCATTCATGTTATTTTCTTCTTTCATGTGCTAGATATCTCCTTGGAGACATTCTTGGTGATGCTTGGATTGGAAAACAAGGGAGATGGCTAGGCTTTTAGAGTTTTGCTCAACGTGAGAGATTTTTGAGGATAGCGTGAAAGAGTTTACAAGGCATCCTTTGAGGATTAGAATGGTGATGTAATTGACGCCAATGAATATGTCCTTACTAAGGCCTTGTGCGGCACTTTGAATTTCTTTCCTCATTGTAATTTTGTTCACTTTTACTTGAGCTTATCGGAGAAAATGTTTTATGAACAATTTGTAACACTTATATCGTTTAGGAACGGGGTCTTATATCTTTGAGTTTTATCTTGACTTGTAATGAATCTTAGGTACTTTGAATTGAAAGTCTTTGAAACTTTTAATTTTGAAGTTGTTCCTTTGAATTTTCATCCAATCTTATACATTGGCACATAATCACTTTGAGCTTGTCTTGTAGAGAACAAAAGGATCTTGAATAATTTAGAACCAACAAATCTACCTTTAAATGATAACTTTGATTTGAACTCTTAATGGAATTGAACTCTAAATTTGAATACTGCTTTTGATCATTATGAACGGAAATGGTCTTGAAAAACATTTTTGTTTTGAAATGGATCCTTGATGTGGATTTGGAAACTATGTAATGACTTACATATTATGGTGTTTTGCAATGAATACTTTGAATTTTGAATCCTTTTGTCATGTTTCCACTCTTTTGAAGTAGGATTGAATGGAACTTTGCATCTTGCATAGTAATGGACATCATTGATTTGAAGTAATCTTGAATCTTCCGAGCTAAACCAAGCTTATCTTGCAATACTGAATCTTATGGTTAAAACTTGACGTGAATCACATAAGATCTCTTTGTAACTTTAACTCTTGAATGTTGAATTCTTTTGGCGATATTTGAATAGTTCTTTATATTCTTATCCAGAAATTCTTGAATATTGCAACTTGAATGAATTCAAACATAGTACTTTAAAGCATATTGATCATAAACTACCAACAGGAAATCCACATTCCTTCTCTTAAGAAAAAAACAAGAAACTCAAACCATGATCTAGCCTTAAGGACAAAGCCTCGTTTGAACCTTATTATTCTTATAGTTAAAGTATGAGCTTAATACAAGAATCAAGCTTCGAGGAATCCTTGTGATGCAACTTGTTAGGAAAGCCCTAAATAATCCTCACATGCTCATACTTATGAACAATGAGAAGAAAACCCTAATTCTTCTTGGGGAATACACCGAAGCTTTCGAGAAAAATTGAGGAAAGTAACCAGTAGAAAATCTTAGGATCTTTTGAATCAGAATCCAACGGTCACACCCTGGAATGCTTGCTTGTAAGGGTCTATACTTGAAATTACTGCACCTACACAAACTGGTTAGTCATAATAAACACGCACACAAAAACCTATGTCCTGAAGATGTTATGCAAGATGATACACAAAGAGGTGGGATCTTAGGGTTAAAAATTAAGGTGTGACAGATGCCTTTATTTAAGTTTCTTCTATTCGGAGGTATGGAGATTGAAATCTTCGTCTCAACGTGATAGGAGAAACTTAAATACGAACATGAAAAAACAAAATTTTTGGCCCTAAGATGGCACCAAATACAATGATATGACATGATATGGTATGAAATGCAAGACAAAAAAATTTGTAGGGAACGATGCCGCAGGGAATAACTGTATGAAAATGTTGCAAACAAGGTTACAGAATAGAAGACCCAACGAGGGACAACTCAACAAAGCAAGACTTCATGGGAAAATATTTAACTCCACTGGGGAAGGGATAACCATCGCTGGGGATAGCTTAAACACAAAGTATCTTTAGTGAAATAATAGTGAGTATAGTATTTATTGTCAGGAATATGGTAATTTAAACAACGAGAAAGAAACTTGAAATGGAAGGGATAACCTACTACCAACACGTGGTAGCCTAAGCAAAGGTATCCACTTGAGATAAAGAAATGCATGTTACCTACTATCAATCATATGATAGCCTAAGCGAAGGTAAAATGAAAAAATGTGCACCCGCGAAGTTGAAAACCTACACTGGACGGCTTCGGCAAAAAGGGGTATCCCGGTGAACTGAAAACCCGTAAAGGGCGGTTCGCGCAAAAGTTAGGGATTTGAAAAGCAAATGACTGCGGTCCGAATTTGATACTACGGTGCACGTTGGTGCGGGAGAATATACCTGAGAGGTCTATTATCAGATACAATCTCTTCAGAAGTTCGAATACCGGGAGAGCGCCAGAGTCAGGCGAGTCATAGGAGGGTCAGCTCATGATGGTCGTCTGCATCACGTTGCCGACATGTGTGCAAATTTGATTTGTCATTGTATATATGCTTCCTGTGCATACTTGTATATTTGTTGTGCGTAGCTTCCTCTTTTCAGGAGTTACATCCAGTGTACAAAACTCTGCCCATTCAGGGGCCCAATCAATAAAACATGTTATTCAGTATTTGATGCTTGTTCTTTACTGTTTTGTACATGACAAACGCCAATGTTTAATAAAACTAGCAAGTGTATAACATTGCTGGCCTTTGCCAATAATTGCTAAAACTTTGAATTGACTGAAAAGGATGTCACTAACGCTAACCTGAATATATTTGGTTGTATAGACTTGTCTTGTCTCGTTTGT